TGAAAGCTATCACAGCTACTTCTCGCTATGTAAATGTCAAGACTCTCATCAAATCTTTGATTTTTGGAAAAATAAAGAATTCGCATGGTGTGAGGTCTGTATCGTCCGCGGGTCACGATCTCTACCTTCTCAGAAGCCCAAAAATAACTTTTTTTTATTCGCAGTGAGCGTCGATGCATTGTCATGGTGCGTAACAGGTAGACAGTTGAAATTTTCACAGAATGTGTATTTATGTTGCCGCTATGACAACAAATAATTAAAATAAATTAAAAATTAAAAGGTACTACCCTGCTAGAAACGTGTATTACGATGGTACGGAACCCTTCATGCACGAGTCCGACTCGCACTTGGCCGGTTATTTTTGAATTTGCCTCAACAAATGGAGATCTTCCCTCCCAAATGCGGAGAGAGTGAACTATTAAAATCATAAAAAAATCAGCGCCCTAAAATATTTATGCGTTAATTTCATTTTTGCAACAGATTGCAGATAAAAATAATTGACATGCGACTGAAGAATTATTTTAATTAATTTAAAAGTTTCTTAAGTTTTAAAAGGTATAGCATTCGAAATTCAAAGATTTATGAGCGCGCCAAGAGCGCAGAACTTTCAGTGTGCCCTATTATAAAATTGATATTTAATGATGATAAAATATGTTTTGACAGTGTCTTGCGGATGCCGTAAGAGGCGACAGAGGGAAACAAACTGCGATATGGGCAGCAGAGTTTTTCTAATCACAATTAGTAAACTAAAAATACTGCATTTGCCAAACTGTCTGTCATGCGTGGCACCTATGGCTAAAGTGAAGCAATCCGTTTCGAAATAATTTTACTTACGATGCTGCCAATCTGCTCTAATTTCTTCATCTTGATTATTTGCTAAGTAATTTGTGCATAGCGGTTCCGTCGGAAAGACGACTCTCGATAGTATAGTTACTTCCTCTTCTGCAAATAAAGTACATTATTACAACAAAATAAAACAAAATTTATTTACTATCCACATGCGATACTGTCACTAAAGAAAAATACCTTCCAACGACACGCACATAGTCCAAATACCGCCATTCATTGGTACTAAAAATGTGCCGCTGTTTTTCCTATGGCTGGGTTCCTCGATCTGTAAAAAAATTGCAGTTAATTTTTTTTCATTCACATACGTTTTGATTCATCATAGTAAACAAATTGAGCATAGTTTTAACCACGGAGCAAATTTGTATTTGCTCCATGGTTTTAACAGACTTCAAAAAGGAGGAGGTTCTCAATTCGAGTGCATGTTTTTTTTGTATGTATGTTACGCGATATCTTGAACCAATTTTGATGATCTTTTTTTATTAAATAAGTTATATTCAAGGGTGGGCCTATATAAATTTTGAGAAAAAAATCCACCCCTAAGGGTAGCAAATAAATAACTTCCTTTTTAGCAATTTGGAGTCGGTTTTTACTTTTTGTTATAAATTATAATTCACTAATACGAGTATGTCTAAGTTTTGTATTTAAAATAAGTTTTTATATTTTATATAATTATTTTGTGTGTATTTTAAATTTTTGTGTGTTTTGTATATTATATTGTATTTGCTTTTGTTTTTGTACTATATATTTGATATATGTTTTTGTGGTTTATGTAAATTCTTCTTCCAGCCCGCCCAGCGCGGGAGAACCAGGGTCCGCTTTCCTACACTTCCTCCTCCACTTTGCCCGGTCTTCGGCGTCCCTCACAACTAGCCCATTGGCGCGCATGTTATCCTTTACGACATCAAGCCAGCGTTTCTTGGTGCATTCTCTACTCCTCGGTAGGGTCATGTCCAGGCATTTGTTTCCCACGTAGCTTGCAGGTCGTCGTAAGACGTTGCCGTACCAGCGGAGGCGACTTTCCTGCAGCTTGTCAGCAATGTCACGGACATGGAGGCTGCCGCGGATGTATGTATTCCGTACACGGTCTTTCCGTTCACATATCCACCGCAGCATGTTCATCTCCGTGACATGCAACAACTGCCGGTGTCGCTCCAGCACCGGCCACGCCTCACTGCCGTACGTAAGGACAGGCCTTATGATGGTCTTATAGACCTGTCTCTTCAGCTTGACCGGCATTTTGGGGTCACAAATGACACCCGTCACCTCGCGCCATTTCGCCCAAGCCGCTGATATACGGGCCTTGATGTCGCGATCGATGTCCCCGGACGCATCAAGCACAGATCCGAGGTACCTGAAGTTGTCCGTGCGCTCGACGGTGTCGTCGCCTATAAGGAGAGACATTAGATCTGTGCTGTTGCAGGCCATATACTCCGTCTTCGCCACGTTTAGCTTCAGCCCGCCGTTCTCAAGCGCCTCCCTCCATGCGTGCACGCGTCTGGTGAGCCGTCCTTTGTCCCCATCTACCAGTGCGATATTATCAGCGTACATAAGCAGCCAAGGCTGCGGTAGTTTCTGTACGCTGGCTGACAGTTCGTCTAATATCACACTGAAGAGATAGGGGCTTAAGACGGAGCCCTGATGCACGCCTACGGTTATGGAGAAGAGGGTGGTATCACCAACAGCGGTCCTGACTATTGAATCGGAGTTGCGGTACATGTCACGTACGATTTCCACGTAGGTCTCTGGTACCAACTTCGATCGCAACGCCCACCAGATCATCTCCCTGGAAACACAGTCAAAGGCCTTCTGCAGGTCTAGGAATAAAAAATGCAGAGGCATATTCTTTTCCCTGTGCTTTTTCTTTCCATCTTTCTTTTTCTTTCCATTGTTGAGTGGCTTAGTGCCAATTACCGGGGCGACTGCCGTCTGACCCCTGAACCCCTAGGACGAATCCCAGAGGAGTGGCATCGCCAGAGCTCTTTCCGTTGTCCAGCAGGTGCGCCACGTGTAGACGGGGTTGGCTTGGGCTCCAAGATCTTAGCGGAGCCCCTTACACCCAAAATGTTTGTGGTTTATGTATCACTTGTCCAAAATATCCTTGAGGAGAATGATCGTTTCTTTATTATTATTTAATCTTTATCCCACGTACATTCTCTATCTCTCTTAGAGAAACTGTGGCAGGTGTAAAATAAGTTGGTAATAAATAAAATATAATGCAAAATAAAAAAGATAGTAAAATAACAAAATATAATAAGGTAGTGAAAATGTATACGAATAATTATATCCGAAATGGGTTCTTCTTTTTTGGTAGTTTTTCTTAATCTACTGCAGATTTTGCATTTTAAATGAAAAAACAATAATTTGTGGGCCGCCACGTTCAGTACGCCTTGAAATTTTTTCAAAGTAGAATTTTAAATTCCGCTCATACAAAATCACTCCTGAGCACTGACCAATTACTAATGTACTTTTGAAAAGTACAGAAAATACTTTTAACTATAATTTTATAGGATAGGGTGACAAACGTTACCTACCCTCTGTGAAGGAAACATCTGTGCAAGTTTGCTCCGTAAATAAACTGTTAAAATTCGTGTCTAAAGTTGTACTCTAAAGTTGTTTGTATATAATTCACAACGCTGTTGTAGTGACGATTCTAGTGGTGAAACCAAAATTCATTTCCATCCAGTAATTTCGAAGATATAAGCAATAACATTTCAAAATTATTTGTTAACCATCTTGAACCCTGACCTACGACAACCCGCGTGACGCCCGCTGCTCCACTGAGTCATCGCTACCGGCCAGCGCTGTGTGCGCGGCATTGCAATATCTAAGTTCAGCGGACTGCACTACGATGGCAAGTCGGACGGCACCGTGCGCGGGCTGCCGCACCGAGGTGAGCGGAGACGGTCCATATATGAAATGTGCAAAATGTAAGCAGATTTTTGATATTATTTGTGCAAACATTACTACTGATGTGTTTAAAAATATGTCGGTGGAATTAAAGATGTCTTGGATATGTGGAGAATGTCGCTGTAGGCAACCAAAACGAGATAATTCTCATACTCCAGTGCGGCCACACGTTATGCAGGATTTAAATACCACCTCTACTGCTTCGTGCCTTGACGTATCCATGCAGACTTCTGATAACGTGACTGTACGAGCTAAGCCGCGATACGCCCAAACTACTATGGGAAGCACAGGCGAAAGTATTACAGGAAAAGATTTAAAAGATTCTGTTGTGCGTGAATTAAAAAACCTGCAAATTGAATTCGAAGCACAGCTAATGACCAAAATTAATACACTGCTTATTGAACAATTTTTGGCGTTCAAAACTGAATTCTTAGATAGGGTTAATTTGATAACGAACAAGGTTTTACAATTAGAGGAACACTACTTATCGAGCATTAATAAGGCCTGCGAACCGACGCCAATATCCAAAATCTTGAAAACTAGCGGTACTCAAACCAGTCCAACCCTTGAAAATATACCCACTACACAAAATAAGCCTCCGAAGCGGAAACCTCAACCTCAACCTCAACCAAATATCGAACATCTCGGAACTGATAAGGATCAGTCTGCGTTTACTGTCCCCAGAACAAATAAAGTCTCATCTGTGGCTCCAGTTATCAATGCTCAAAAGATGATGCACGCAGAATATTCCGAGTCTTCCGTCTCTTTAAATAATAGCCAGGACTGCGAGCGGATTGATGACAACTGGCAAGAAGTATCACGCAAACGGGCACGCCCCTCACTTCCCGGGTTGCTTCGAGGTACCGCTGCGCCTGGTTCTACGATGTTGCATGCTGCTGAAAGGCGGAGATACCTGCATCTATACTACGTACGAGAAGGCACCACAGTAGAGGAAGTACACGAACATCTTAACTCAATATGTGGGAACGGCGAATGCACGGTTGAAAAATTGAAACCACGTGGACATTATGCATCGTTCAAACTCGGAGTTCCATTGAAGCAGGCCGGAAATATAATGTCATCTGAAAACTGGGCTGAAGATATTTGTATTAAACCATGGCGGCAGAACTTTCGTGCCAAAGACAAAAACAATCAAACGTCAACCGCGATTCCATGAAATGCAAATATGTTACCAAAATGTTCGTGGCCTAAGAACAAAAACTAATATGTTTCTTAATAATGTTATGGAAAGTGAATATGATATGATAGCATTAACTGAGACCTTTCTTACGAGTTCAGTGTCCAATGGTGAACTCTTTCCTCCGGGTTTTCATGTAGTTCGTAAAGATAGAACTGGTGATTGTGGATGGGGAGGAGTTTTGCTCGCGATTCGTGATCGTTATAATGTTAAAATAGTTACGGATATTGTTAGTATGACTGATGACAAAGAATTAATATTTGCAATTGTGACATTTAAAAATGTAAAAGTTTTATGTTGTGTCGTATATCTGCCACCAAATTATAAGGATGAGCAATATTTGAATGTTTTGACATGTATAGAAAATGTGATTTGTACTTACCCTGACCTAAATGTTCTAATCCTAGGTGACTTTAATTTAAACTCTTGCAGTACCAATATAAAGACTTCTTTTGACTTTTTTTGTGAATTCTGCTCGCTTAAGCAATATAATACAGTCTTAAATAATCGCGGTGGTATGCTGGATCTGGTGCTGGGCAGTTTTGAAGCTAAACAGATAGTGGTATCTCTCAGTGAAGATCCTCTGGTAAATATCGATCAGTACCATCCTATGCTCGATATAAATATTACATTTCCGGGCTTTTGGATAGCATCGAACGTGTCATCTTTGCAGCAAGTGACACCTCGCTCGAATACCAATATAGATTGGAACTGGCGTAAGGCAGATTTTCAGGGTCTATATAGGACTTTGATTGAAATAGACTGGTCTGATTTGTTAACAATAAGCGATATTAACTGTGCTGTACAGCTGTTCTATGATAAGCTATACGAAATTATAAATCTGTTTGTGCCTATTAAAAAACAATTATCAAACAATCAGCGATACATATATCCAAACTGGTACAACGTAGAAATAATAAAAAATATAAAAAACAAACACTTTCATCATAAGCAATTCAAAAAAGAGGGCAAAGAATTTAATAAGGCTATGTTTATATATTATAGAGAAAAAGTTAAGAAATTGATTGACTGCGAATACCGGAAATATATGACTGTACTACAAAAAAATATCATTGACGATCCTGTGCAATTCTGGAAATATGTAAAGGAGAAGAAAAACAATAGAAGGTACATAGATACATATATATATGAAAATACTGCAGTGACAGATCAAGCCGCAGCCGATGCCTTTGCTAAATATTTTGCGTCCGTTTTTCATGCAGAGAAACCCGGATACTGCTGCAAAAGCTGCATATGCACATATACATCGAGATGTGACCTCAGTTCCATCACGACAGTTGATGAAAACGATCTGAAGAAGGTAGTGAGACGCCTTAAGCCACGATCGGCTGGTGGGCCGGATGGCATTCCTGTCTTCTTAGTTAAGGACTGTATATCAGTCCTTGGGCGGCCTCTTCTGTATTTATATAATCTTTCATTGACACAGTCAAGATATCCTGAGAGCTGGAAGCTATCTCGAGTCACTCCTGTTCCTAAAGGAGACGGAGGCACAAATGTTACTTCATTCAGACCTATAGCTGTCCTATCCGTTTTTGGTAAGATCTTTGAAGCAATTCTAAGTGATTCCATCAAATGCCAAATCGGTCAACAGTTGCATAATGGTCAACATGGGTTTCGTACAGCTCGCTCCACCGTCACCAACTTGGTCGCGCATGTAGACTATATCTGCTTACAAATGGATAAGCGAAGGCAAGTTGATGCGGCTTACTTTGACTTCCAGAAAGCCTTCGACCTTGTGGATAACGATGTACTATTGAAAAAGTTGGCGATTGTTGGATTCGAACCAAAGCTCCTCAATTTTTTTTCTTGTTACCTTAATAATCGACGTCAATATGTGAGGCTCAGTGGATATAACTCTGGAGACTACTTTACTAGGTCAGGAGTAAGTCAAGGTAGTACGTTAGGACCTTTGCTATTCGTGATATTTATCAACGATTTGCCAGATGTTGTTTTGACTGCAGAGTGTCTCCTATTTGCGGATGACCTGAAACTAACTCTGGGTATTGAAACTGAGGCTGATGCCGTGACATTACAAAGAGATATTGATGCTGTGTCTATATGGAGTCAAGAAAACCACCTTCCGTTCAATAATCTCAAATGTAAAATAATAACTTTCACGAGAAAATCACAGCCCATTATTTTTAATTATAAGTTGACTGACGATCCTTTGGAAAGAGTTAAAGAGATTAGGGACTTAGGATTACTATTAGATTGCAAATTAGATTTTCACACGCATATCAACAAAATTTGTAAGTCAGCGCATAAAATGTTAGGGTTTGTCATAAGGACTGCGTCACAGTTTGATAATACACGGGTCGCAAAAGTATTATATAATGCTTATGTGCGCAGTAAACTAGAGTACGGAGCTGTTATCTGGAATCCTTACGAAGAGAAATACGTTCTAATGATTGAAAAAATACAACGTAAATTTGCTCGATGGATATATAAGAAACAGTACGGATACTATCCCTACTTATACCCTTCCTTATTCGTGTCTGGTATGGTGGACATTGAAACTTTGAAACTTAGAAGGGCAGTGTCTCAAGTCATGCAATATCTGTCCATAATTCATAATAGGATTGATAGTCCCCAAATACTAGAGCGTGTCCGCATCTTGGTCCCTGGGAACGTGTCAGCAAACTCGCAGGGACAGGTGGCACCGCGGCGCCGCCCGCGACTGCTGGAGCCCCCCCGCGCACGTACCGAGCGCGCTCGTCAAGCGCCCACCAACCGCGCACTCCGCATTATTGGGGACATACTTGCACAGCACAACGAGCTAGACTTATTTGCCGATGGATTAGGACATTTGTATAAAAAATTTCAAATAATTTTAAATAAATTCTAGCCATCAAACTTACGTATATTGTTTTCATAATTAATTATTATAATTGCTGTTCTTATTTTTTTATTTTTTTTTATTATTATTATTGCTATTTTATTTTAATATTAATGTATTTATGGACTCAGATTGTATTTTTTATGATTTCATTTCTATGATATTATTGATGTATTGTTAATTAGGATATTGTAAAATAATTTTGCTATTACCTATATAATGACGAGGGTGTGTAATACCGAACTGTTAATCTTATAAGCGTTTTGGATGTGTCATCTGTTAGCTTGTAAGATGAAATGAAATAAATAAATGAATAAATGAAAACGAGCACACAGTCCACCTGATGGTAAGTGGTTGCTGTAGCCCATAGACATCTACATCTATCCTCGTTTGCGAATCAAAATACAGATGCGTTGTCACCCGTGACGACTAAGATGGAATGTCTCTTTTCCACTAAAAATGGTCTCCGGTTCTCTACACTCAACATACGTAACACAGCAGTGTTAAGCTGCTATTTACGCTGGTATTCTGTGAGAGCGTGGTCATTCCCCGGTCGAGCTGACCCATTCGTGCTACAACTATAATACTAATATAGCTGTAACATGGCTCTACCACGTAAAAATCTCTCTTTCCTCGTCATGCCCATCGCTCCCTGTTTTGTAGAGTTTTTGGGCGCGTGTCAAAGGACTGGCAATATATGTCATACACATATTCAAACGTCGTCGTCGCGATTAATCGCGCGAGTAGTGCAGTGTGTGGCCAGAGAGGGCAACATTGCGACAACGCGAGGAGCAAAGCAAGGTGCAGTCCGAGGAACATAGTTTGGCTGTGGGAGGCATTAAGTTTTACCAACACAGTTTGTATATCATTCCTTTTTTTTTAGTATTGTATATCATTCCATATTTTTGTATTAAACAATTGTAACAAATAACAAAGCTTTAAAACCAACTCATTTGTATAATAATTAAAATTTAAAAAACCCCCGAACCAAAAAGATCTCATGACTTTCACACGGCTGAACAGATTTTCTTGAAACATAGATAAGAACACTCTTGATTAAGACACCTTTCAATTGACAAAAACTAAATTATATTCGATTCATTTGTTCAGGAGCTATGATGTTACAGACAGACACACAGATACACACGACAAACATATAACACCTCTCTGTTTTTATCGGGGGTTAATAAAACTAAGGTAAAAGACAAGGGTTCTTAATAAAAGATCTTAGTGTACACTTGGGTAGTCATCAAAGACCGGCGAGTGGTGACTTCTAACAAAAACTGTTTTACTTTTCACTGACAATAGCAACTTCAGTCAAGAGTAGAGTTCTTGTGTTTTAAAGAAGCGGGCATAGAGTGTTTTTTTGTTTATTTTAAGAGAAAGCTTTGCGTCCGTAATAAGTGTTTTTTTTAAACGTTACCCCCACACTAGGATTTTCTCGTGTATCATGGAGGTAGTTTACAAATATAAATTGCACAAGGACAAAAATTCAGATCCGGAATGAAGGTCAAATACTTGTTCCGTGCGGGATTCGAACTCGCGGCCCCAAGCGCTGCAACTCATTGCTAAGCCACTGCGCCACGGAACCGTCAAATTGCCTATTGTATACCTACTAAGTACATAAACCTAATGACCAAATATTAACCGATTTAAAAAACTAAAACAATAGTAATTTCAGTTTACATCTTAATAGTTTCTGAAGCAGGTGCCAAGACATAGTACACGATTTTTTTTAACGAAGAATTACGAGTAAGGCCCCGATTTCAGAAGTTACTATGCGAAAATTATTATATTTTTATTTTTTGAAATCAATTTCACTTTCTATTAAAAAATTTATTATTTAATATTTTAATGGCCTAAGGATTATAACATTTTTAAAGTAAAAACATGCGTGAGGTGCGGTGGAACACTGGGTTGGAACGAAGTTCCTTTCGTAGTATATTATTATTGATAAACGTATTATATTATTGATTAACAAATACAATTCATTTTTTTATGGAAATAGGGTGACAAACGAGCACATAGTCCCACTGATAGTAAGTGGTTGCTGAGGCCATATACATTTATATCTATCTTCGTTTGCGAATCAAAATGCAGATGCATTGTCAGCCTTAAGGACTAAGATGGAATGCCTCTGGAATGATATTCTGTGAGAGCGCGGTCCTTCCCTGGTCGAGCCCACCCATTCGTGCTACAACTATACTATAAATATAGCTGTAGCTTGGTTGTATTACGTAAAAAAAATGAATAAAAGTGTACAAATAGAAGATGAAGATATATGTAGTTATATTAAAATCTTCATCCACTTTTTTAACGACGTTCTAGGTTTGGAACGAAGTACCTTATCGGACGGTAAGAATTTGGAGGATGGGTGCTAGGCGAGAAAAAGTATAAGATTTTTCCGTCACGACCCCTTTTGACGTATTGTATACGTCATCTCCCTCGCACTTTTTCTTATCTTACCATGGAAGAAATATTATTATATTACATGTCGCTTCATTTAAATAGACGCTAGTAATTCATTTTTTTTACGTAATACAACCAAGCTACAGCTATATTTATAGTATAGTTGTAGCACGAATGGGTGGGCTCGACCAGGGAAGGACCGCGCTCTCACAGAATATCATTCCAGAGGCATTCCATCTTAGTCCTTAAGGCTGACAATGCATCTGCATTTTGATTCGCAAACGAAGATAGATATAAATGTATATGGCCTCAGCAACCACTTACTATCAGTGGGACTATGTGCTCGTTTGTCACCCTATTTCCATAAAAAAATGAATTGTATTTGTTAATCAATAATATAATACGTTTATCAATAATAATATACTACGAAAGGAACTTCGTTCCAACCCAGTGTTCCACCGCACCTCACGCATGTTTTTACTTTAAAAATGTTATAATCCTTAGGCCATTAAAATATTAAATAATAAATTTTTTAATAGAAAGTGAAATTGATTTCAAAAAATAAAAATATAATAATTTTCGCATAGTAACTTCTGAAATCGGGGCCTTACTCGTAATTCTTCGTTAAAAAAAATCGTGTACTATGTCTTGGCACCTGCTTCAGAAACTATTAAGATGTAAACTGAAATTACTATTGTTTTAGTTTTTTAAATCGGTTAATATTTGGTCATTAGGTTTATGTACTTAGTAGGTATACAATAGGCAATTTGACGGTTCCGTGGCGCAGTGGCTTAGCAATGAGTTGCAGCGCTTGGGGCCGCGAGTTCGAATCCCGCACGGAACAAGTATTTGACCTTCATTCCGGATCTGAATTTTTGTCCTTGTGCAATTTATATTTGTAAACTACCTCCATGATACACGAGAAAATCCTAGTGTGGGGGTAACGTTTAAAAAAAACACTTATTACGGACGCAAAGCTTTCTCTTAAAATAAACAAAAAAACACTCTATGCCCGCTTCTTTAAAACACAAGAACTCTACTCTTGACTGAAGTTGCTATTGTCAGTGAAAAGTAAAACAGTTTTTGTTAGAAGTCACCACTCGCCGGTCTTTGATGACTACCCAAGTGTACACTAAGATCTTTTATTAAGAACCCTTGTCTTTTACCTTAGTTTTATTAACCCCCGATAAAAACAGAGAGGTGTTATATGTTTGTCGTGTGTATCTGTGTGTCTGTCTGTAACATCATAGCTCCTGAACAAATGAATCGAATATAATTTAGTTTTTGTCAATTGAAAGGTGTCTTAATCAAGAGTGTTCTTATCTATGTTTCAAGAAAATCTGTTCAGCCGTGTGAAAGTCATGAGATCTTTTTGGTTCGGGGGTTTTTTAAATTTTAATTATTATACAAATGAGTTGGTTTTAAAGCTTTGTTATTTGTTACAATTGTTTAATACAAAAATATGGAATGATATACAATACTAAAAAAAAAGGAATGATATACAAACTGTGTTGGTAAAACTTAATGCCTCCCACAGCCAAACTATGTTCCTCGGACTGCACCTTGCTTTGCTCCTCGCGTTGTCGCAATGTTGCCCTCTCTGGCCACACACTGCACTACTCGCGCGATTAATCGCGACGACGACGTTTGAATATGTGTATGACATATATTGCCAGTCCTTTGACACGCGCCCAAAAACTCTACAAAACAGGGAGCGATGGGCATGACGAGGAAAGAGAGATTTTTACGTGGTAGAGCCATGTTACAGCTATATTAGTATTATAGTTGTAGCACGAATGGGTCAGCTCGACCGGGGAATGACCACGCTCTCACAGAATACCAGCGTAAATAGCAGCTTAACACTGCTGTGTTACGTATGTTGAGTGTAGAGAACCGGAGACCATTTTTAGTGGAAAAGAGACATTCCATCTTAGTCGTCACGGGTGACAACGCATCTGTATTTTGATTCGCAAACGAGGATAGATGTAGATGTCTATGGGCTACAGCAACCACTTACCATCAGGTGGACTGTGTGCTCGTTTGTCACCCTATCCTATAAAATTATAGTTAAAAGTATTTTCTGTACTTTTCAAAAGTACATTAGTAATTGGTCAGTGCTCAGGAGTGATTTTGTATGAGCGGAATTTAAAATTCTACTTTGAAAAAATTTCAAGGCGTACTGAACGTGGCGGCCCACAAATTATTGTTTTTTCATTTAAAATGCAAAATCTGCAGTAGATTAAGAAAAACTACCAAAAAAGAAGAACCCATTTCGGATATAATTATTCGTATACATTTTCACTACCTTATTATATTTTGTTATTTTACTATCTTTTTTATTTTGCATTATATTTTATTTATTACCAACTTATTTTACACCTGCCACAGTTTCTCTAAGAGAGATAGAGAATGTACGTGGGATAAAGATTAAATAATAATAAAGAAACGATCATTCTCCTCAAGGATATTTTGGACAAGTGATACATAAACCACAAACATTTTGGGTGTAAGGGGCTCCGCTAAGATCTTGGAGCCCAAGCCAACCCCGTCTACACGTGGCGCACCTGCTGGACAACGGAAAGAGCTCTGGCGATGCCACTCCTCTGGGATTCGTCCTAGGGGTTCAGGGGTCAGACGGCAGTCGCCCCGGTAATTGGCACTAAGCCACTCAACAATGGAAAGAAAAAGAAAGATGGAAAGAAAAAGCACAGGGAAAAGAATATGCCTCTGCATTTTTTATTCCTAGACCTGCAGAAGGCCTTTGACTGTGTTTCCAGGGAGATGATCTGGTGGGCGTTGCGATCGAAGTTGGTACCAGAGACCTACGTGGAAATCGTACGTGACATGTACCGCAACTCCGATTCAATAGTCAGGACCGCTGTTGGTGATACCACCCTCTTCTCCATAACCGTAGGCGTGCATCAGGGCTCCGTCTTAAGCCCCTATCTCTTCAGTGTGATATTAGACGAACTGTCAGCCAGCGTACAGAAACTACCGCAGCCTTGGCTGCTTATGTACGCTGATAATATCGCACTGGTAGATGGGGACAAAGGACGGCTCACCAGACGCGTGCACGCATGGAGGGAGGCGCTTGAGAACGGCGGGCTGAAGCTAAACGTGGCGAAGACGGAGTATATGGCCTGCAACAGCACAGATCTAATGTCTCTCCTTATAGGCGACGACACCGTCGAGCGCACGGACAACTTCAGGTACCTCGGATCTGTGCTTGATGCGTCCGGGGACATCGATCGCGACATCAAGGCCCGTATATCAGCGGCTTGGGCGAAATGGCGCGAGGTGACGGGTGTCATTTGTGACCCCAAAATGCCGGTCAAGCTGAAGAGACAGGTCTATAAGACCATCATAAGGCCTGTCCTTACGTACGGCAGTGAGGCGTGGCCGGTGCTGGAGCGACACCGGCAGTTGTTGCATGTCACGGAGATGAACATGCTGCGGTGGATATGTGAACGGAAAGACCGTGTACGGAATACATACATCCGCGGCAGCCTCCATGTCCGTGACATTGCTGACAAGCTGCAGGAAAGTCGCCTCCGCTGGTACGGCAACGTCTTACGACGACCTGCAAGCTACGTGGGAAACAAATGCCTGGACATGACCCTACCGAGGAGTAGAGAATGCACCAAGAAACGCTGGCTTGATGTCGTAAAGGATAACATGCGCGCCAATGGGCTAGTTGTGAGGGACGCCGAAGACCGGGCAAAGTGGAGGAGGAAGTGTAGGAAAGCGGACCCTGGTTCTCCCGCGCTGGGCGGGCTGGAAGAAGAATTTACATAAACCACAAAAACATATATCAAATATATAGTACAAAAACAAAAGCAAATACAATATAATATACAAAACACACAAAAATTTAAAATACACACAAAATAATTATATAAAATATAAAAACTTATTTTAAATACAAAACTTAGACATACTCGTATTAGTGAATTATAATTTATAACAAAAAGTAAAAACCGACTCCAAATTGCTAAAAAGGAAGTTATTTATTTGCTACCCTTAGGGGTGGATTTTTTTCTCAAAATTTATATAGGCCCACCCTTGAATATAACTTATTTAATAAAAAAAGATCATCAAAATTGGTTCAAGATATCGCGTAACATACATACAAAAAAAACATGCACTCGAATTGAGAACCTCCTCCTTTTTGAAGTCTGTTAAAACCACGGAGCAAATACAAATTTGCTCCGTGGTTAAAACTATGCTCAATTTGTTTACTATGATGAATCAAAACGTATGTGAATGAAAAAAAATTAACTGCAATTTTTTTACAGATCGAGGAACCCAGCCATAGGAAAAACAGCGGCACATTTTTAGTACCAATGAATGGCGGTATTTGGACTATGTGCGTGTCGTTGGAAGGTATTTTTCTTTAGTGACAGTATCGCATGTGGATAGTAAATAAATTTTGTTTTATTTTGTTGTAATAATGTACTTTATTTGCAGAAGAGGAAGTAACTATACTATCGAGAGTCGGCTTTCCGACGGAACCGCTATGCACAAATTACTTAGCAAATAATCAAGATGAAGAAATTAGAGCAGATTGGCAGCATCGTAAGTAAAATTATTTCGAAACGGATTGCTTCACTTTAGCCATAGGTGCCACGCATGACAGACAGTTTGGCAAATGCAGTATTTTTAGTTTACTAATTGTGATTAGAAAAACTCTGCTGCCCATATCGCAGTTTGTTTCCCTCTGTCGCCTCTTACGGCATCCGCAAGACACTGTCAAAACATATTTTATCATCATTAAATATCAATTTTATAATAGGGCACACTGAAAGTTCTGCGCTCTTGGCGCGCTCATAAATCTTTGAATTTCGAATGCTATACCTTTTAAAACTTAAGAAACTTTTAAATTAATTAAAATAATTCTTCAGTCGCATGTCAATTATTTTTATCTGCAATCTGTTGCAAAAATGAAATTAACGCATAAATATTTTAGGGCGCTGATTTTTTTATGATTTTAATAGTTCACTCTCTCCGCATTTGGGAGGGAAGATCTCCATTTGTTGAGGCAAATTCAAAAATAACCGGCCAAGTGCGAGTCGGACTCGTGCATGAAGGGTTCCGTACCATCGTAATACACGTTTCTAGCAGGGTAGTACCTTTTAATTTTTAATTTATTTTAATTATTTGTTGTCATAGCGGCAACATAAATACACATTCTGTGAAAATTTCAACTGTCTACCTGTTACGCACCATGACAATGCATCGACGCTCACTGCGAATAAAAAAAAGTTATTTTTGGGCTTCTGAGAAGGTAGAGATCGTGACCCGCGGACGATACAGACCTCACACCATGCGAATTCTTTATTTTTCCAAAAATCAAAGATTTGATGAGAGTCTTGACATTTACATAGCGAGAAGTAGCTGTGATAGCTTTCAACCAACACGAAAAAAACATGCTTTCAGACCAATGACCCTTATGTTTTAGAAAATGGTTTGAACGAATGAAAATGTGTTTAAAATGTAATGGAGAATACTTCGAAAAGCAGTAAATATATTAGTTTATATATAAAGTGTTTTATTTATCAGTTACGCAAAACTTTCAGTGTACCCCACGTAAAATAGAGGATATATGAGTTATTGGAACGAAGTTCCTTATTGGATGGTACGATTTTAGCGGATGGGGGCTAGGCTAGAAAAGTGTAAGATTTTTCCGTCACGACCCCTTCTGACGTAGTGTAGACGGCCTTGACGACTATAAGGAAGCGAGATGGAATAATATCCATCTCCCTCGCATTTTTTTTCATCTTGCCATGAAAAAAATTATTATTTTAAATGACGCTTAATTTTAATAGACGCTAGTAATTCATTTATTTGTATTTGTTAATCAATAATATGATACGTTTATCAATAATATTATACTACGAAAGGAACTTCGTTCCAACCCAGTGTTCCACGACACTCACGCATGTTTTTTTTTAATTTATAGGATAAGGTTCACAAATGGGCAGACAGTTCACCTGTTTATGCTTATTTTTATATTATTCTAAGCCAGCGCTTAAGTACAATCCCACCTGATGGTAAGTGGTGATGTAGCCTAAGATGGTGAAGCGCACTGACTTAACAAAAGCCTGTTCACTCTTGCCTTGAAGACACCCACATTATATTCAGATGGAAACACAGATGCTGGGAACTTATTCCACTTCGATTAGGAACCAAAAGCAAGATGCATTATCACCTTAGGACTAAGATAGAAGTGCCTCGTTTCTGGTAAAAAAGATCTCCGATTCCCTACACTGGCCGCAACACAGCGATTCTACCGCGTACAAAATATATTATTGAATGCTAAAAAGATGTTATTGTACTAGGAATGCAGAATCTGTCGATATCGTGCGCGCTGGTGTGCCTGATAGTGCTCGGCAGCGCAGCGCTAGTCGGCGCTTTCGGTGTCTGTAAGCACCAGATCAGCGCTGTGCTCGTAACCGGCGTCATGTACTTGTTAGCTGGTAGGTGCACACTTTTTCCTTTTAAACTCACAATAATTGTAGATCTAGTTGTCTTTTTCAACTTTTAAAACTAAGAACATTCTTAAGTGCGTCATTTTAAATTTGCTCTCCATTTCCAGGTCTATTCGCTATGTTCACGCTTATGATAATCCACTTTAAGCGGATGCAACGCGTATCGACCCGCAGTAGTCCACACGGGGATGATACAGCAGACGGCGTAGTCGGCCCTCGTGCACCAGCATTACCGCTCCTTTCAGCTAGAGAGTTCACCACATCCTGGTCGCTTGAACTGGGTTGGGGTGGCGTAGCATTAGCTACCACCACATCGCTTCTTTGGATACTGTTGTCCAAAATAATGAGATACAACCCTATAACTGCTATGCTGTTATAAATTAGATATTGTTTACTTTATAATGTTACAGTCAATTATCTTATAAAAAAAATTGATGTTACAGTCTCTGTTTAATCTCATCGCTTTCTGCAGTCTAGACCTGTTACAGTTCAATAATTAGACAGTACACGTGTAAATGTTTCATAGAATTGAGTAGTAGTGGAATGTAGTTTAAGAAAGTATTTTTGATTGTCTATGAAACGTTTTAACTAAGTATTAATTGACTAAATTTAATGTTAACAGATTCGGCCCTGCACTTTTTCTTTTCTCTCTGTTATAGCCACTTCTACCGTCGTAATCTTTAACAAGAACTCTGTGCTTCCTCTTTTTTATTTAATTGATAATAAAATTGATACAAGAAAAATACAATAAAATTACGCCTTTATTTTGTATTGAATGTATTTCGAAATGTACGCTTTTATATAAATTAGCTTAGGCATATTATGCCAAGCTTACTGCCGTCCATAACTATGAATATATTGTTATAACTGATTCTAAAGCAAAACCCTTCTTCAACAAAAATCTAACACATATGTATAAATCAAATGATTTGAGCTCATAAAGTTTAAAGCAAAAATGTCTAAATGTTCTAATTCTTACAAATTATATTTGATTATACATACAGGTATACAAGCTTATTTTGCAATAACCGGCTAAATTTGCACAGAAGGTTCAGAATAAGTAATATAAGCAAATGGTGAAGAAAAATTATTTCAAAAAAATCTCGAATTCTGTCCTTTTTATTTTTTTAAATCAAAATGCGTAGTAATGCACTATTTTTACTGATTTTACTGAGCTCGCACACATTCGTAAGGGTAGACCGATAGGCAAGAACGTTGTTGCCCATAAATCACTTTCAATTTTGGATAATTTCAAATAAAAGAAGAAGCCTTATTTACTCGTGTTTTCAAAAACTGTAATAACGGTATTTAGCTACTCTTTGAAAAATAACCTTGTATAATTAAAGAAATTATATTATATTCTCCATTAAAATCTGCTGTCGCTTTATCCACTACGTTATTTATATATATATATATATATATATATATAAATAACGTAATATATATATATATATATATATATATATATATATATATATATATATATATATTGACACTCTTTTGTATTTAGGTATATTGTTTATCTTAATAAATAGTTCATTAAAAAATTATAAAGTTAGTTTTAACATTGATACCACGCTGTCGATAACTGTCAACTGTTCAAACCATGTCACTTAATTTTAATTTTCAATTTTCATATTTATTGATAAAACATAACTGTGAAAATGTATTATATTATTTTAATAAGCAACGAAGTAGTTGTACCACATCTATTAAAAATAGATAAATAAAATATATGTGATTTATACTTTAGCTTTAAGGCCTTGACGCTTTTTATAGATTAAGTTAACCATAGATGCAATAACGACAACGATATGTAAATAAACAAGTAAACTTTAAGAAGATATCGCTCTTTAATTACAGTGTTGACAAATGCTATAATTTTAATTTCAATATTATTTTATACGATATTGTTCGCAGCGCATCCATGGAAAGCTTATGAATAATATATCGCTGTATATATTTTTATATAACATATATCCGACAATTGTTAATTATGCATCGTAATCACCAAACTCATGGCCGTACTGATTTCAAGGCGATCACCAATTCAATGGACAGTTTGGAATAATTCAGAAAAAAATTGTTACATCAAATATCTTTTATGCACTTTATAAAATCGTTGTTTAAATTTTGTTGTTAAATTTGATATAGAATTCAATAATGTTATTTAAATATTCCAATACAACATTTTTTTTTGTACTTTGAAAGCATAAAGCGATATTTTGTTTATTTGTTGTTTTATTTTTGATTCCTAACAACAATTTATTTAGATTTTTTAATAATTTAACCCTTTACCGTGAATCATATATGAACATTTCAATTGTTTAACTATGATGTCTGTTTCGCGGACGAGAAAACTGTTAAAGTTAAGTAAGTTTACTGTCCCTTCTCGCGACCACTACCTGGTAGTAAGTAGCTAGTGCTTGCCATCAACACCTTTAAGCAACTTCAAGCAAGGAAGGCTAAAAGTGAGTTGTCATCTGTTATAAAAGAGAGAATGCCTCACAGCTTAACACGCTCGCTCGCTCGTATGTTGTTAACAGAGCTGCAGGGCTAGCATGGGCAGGAGACAATTTTATCTCCGTGGAAAGGAGAAAATGTTTATCCTCCCGCTTAGATTTATCCACCCTTCGAGCATGGGCACACCGGTGGATATAAAATAAATAAATAAATAATATCCACAGTAGATTAAATGGGTGATAGAGTTAGACGGATTTTTTGTATGGATATAAACTTAAACCCACGTCCAATGAACTAGGATCAAATTGTCCATTTCAAATGTAAAAAAAAAAGTATAATTTTTATTATTTATTTGGCTCCATACTACGGACGGGGGATATATGTCTACTTCGTTATGTGAAATGGGGATATACTTCTCCCCGTTGCCGTGCTTTGGCAATTGGCATAAGGACAAGATAATTTTATCTCTTGTCAGTGGATATAATCGGGAGATAAATGTTTTGTCCCCAGCCCATGCTAGCTGTGCAAAGGGTGGCTCTGCGATCTGTTAACAATATACGATCAAAACCATCTCAACAAATTTCCTCTAATTCCGTTGAAAGCTATATTATTTAACAAAATACAATGATCCACCATGTCGAAAGTATTTCTAAACCGGGTAAATAGCATCAATACTTAAATAAGATACTATAGACTACTAGATATATACGAGTATATTATGAAAAATATGCCCTGTAAAAATGTCAAAAATATGCAAAAATGACACTGTGGAACGTCGTTTAACGAATTCAAGTTCTTCTGTTGACTTGTCTTTCAAAAAACTTTAATAAACTACAGAGTATGGAGATAGATCTATAATAGCTTACTTCATCACCTCGAGAGCCTCTTTTATAAATTGGAACAATATTACTATGTACCTACTTATCCAAATATCAAGGAATTTTGCCTCGAACGTGTAGTGTTGGTGTAAGAATATCCACTACCGACTAAGACGCGACGGAGGGAAACAAATCGGGAAAAGAAAAAATTACGGTTGCAACTATGGCAAATATTCCACATATGGGGCATCATATGGGGAAGCCCTATATTAAGCAGTGGAATTTAGATTGCATGGAACAAAACATGATCGAAGTTACGAATCGGCGGAACATGGAAAAACTTTTGTAAGTTTATCTGTACTGTCGGATGTTATTAAATAACTATACTTTGTAATAAATAAATAAAATAAAAATAAAGTTATGTTGTCCTCTACTATATACACTAAATGTTCAGTGTTTTGCTTTGGCAAATTATCTGGCCCCTTTGAGAAATTAAGTTTCTTGGGAGCTTTACAAATTTTTAGGGTTGTGACACTAACACTGATGATATTATTACACATCTCTGATTTATATCTCTGATGGAGGTGACCATTGATTTGGTTAAAATATCGAACATTCATGGACAGACTGGAAAAATGATGGGAACAGCCGGCTAATTACTTTAGATATTGTCATTAGTTCTATAAACGTATGTCTTCAAAAGTTCAGATTAGTCAAATGTACGGAAAGGGTGAAAACCATAGATAATCCATTATTAACTGCCAGCTCATCCGGTACCTTGAGGATCACCAGCTGATTAGTGACCGCCAATACGGTTTTCGTCGGGGTCGATCAGCTGGTGATCTTCTGGTCTACCTGACCCATAGATGGGCGGAGGCAGTAGAGTCCAAGGGGGAGGCGTTGGCCGTTAGTCTGGACATTGCGAAGGCCTTCGATCGAGATGAAATGTATGTCGATTTATTCCTTATAATCTATAGATTACAAAATTAATATTAGTTTTGTCGCTTCTAACGGGAATTCTGAGAAATTAACAAGTGAAATATGAATATCACAATAACCTTAAAACAAACTAAAAGCGATTTTCTAGTAGTTTTCTCAGATATTATAAGTTAGAATAGTGTATATAGAATAGAATAGCTTAATAATTAATAGTATTAAACAAAGTTGCAGGTACATTCAGCAATTATAGGTACTTTAAGATTGATGGAAAATCCTTTTAACACTTCCTTCACTTAGTGCACAGACAAACAAACGTAGTGTTGGGACTATTTTTTACAGGTATTAATTGATTAGTGAATAATTTTTTTTTTATTTTATTTAAAAAAGTAATTGTATGCAAATTGTATGTGGTTTTATTACCTCTGCATTGTCTGGGGAGTAAGAACGTTGTCAAAGACCCCGCTTTACTTAGCTTTAGCATCGGCTAGTGTCAGTAAGAGGTAATAAAACCACATAAAATTAAAAAAAATGTAATAAAATAAAAATAAAAATATGGTCAAGTTTTTAAAAACAAATTATTTATATAGGTTTGAATACTGATCCTGATAACGTACTCAACGGGAACCACAGGGTTTTTGTTACATGTTGTATATATATATATAAATCACGGCAGTAGAGAGGCAGTAGAGACAAAGGGGGAGGCATTGGCCGTTAGTTTGAACATAGCAAAGGCCTTCGATCGGGTCTGGCACAAAGCGCTTCTTTCAAAGCTTCCTTCCTATGGGCTTCCCGAGAAATAGTGCAAATGGATCACCAGTTTCCTTGCTGATCGGAGCATCAAGGTCGTAGTAGACGGTGCATGCTCTGATTTCAAGCCTATTAACACTGGTGTTCCACAAGGCTGCGTGCTATCACCAACGCTGTTTCTCCTGCATATCAATGATATGTTGCAAGCTATTAACATTCATTGCTATGTGGACAACAGCACTGGTGATGCCTTATATACCGGCCGTGCCAATATTTCTCGGGAAAACGTTGCCGAGAACCGGTACAAACTTGTGTCTGAAGTAGAGTCTTTGCTGAACAAAGTCTCGGATTGGGGGCGACTAAATCTAGTCCAGTTCAATCCCCAGAAGACAAAAGTTTACGCGTTTACCGC